CCAAACAGGTGGAAAGAAAGCACCACAGTTTTATTGTTAGGTTAAGCATGAGCAGGTGGTGAGGAGCTATAACACTCACTTTCCCTCACTACCTTGTGATAAAATTACAAATGCCTTATCACCACGTTGTATTTTACAATGCTGTAACTAAGGCCATGTTATCATCATGGTGTAAAAACCAAAATGAATAAAAACCAACACAAATGTCACCTTTGTGTCCATGATGACAAAACCCTAGTTCATCACCTGTGTGTGAATACATGTGCAAATATTGTGCATCTGAAGGGGCAATGAGAACCCCAGACAGAGCTTTCATTCACCATCTGACAATCACTCAGACAGGTACAGCATTCCCACAAATATCACCACCAGAAACCTGTATTTCCAGGAACCCTGAAGGATGCACAAAGTTTAACCTTGGGGCATTAATGTGGGTCACAAATATTTTGATTTTATGTCTAACATGCCTCAAGCGCACAGATCAGCTGTTGGTGACAAGAGAAGTCAGACTTGTGGTATAATGGTAACTGGCCGAACCAAAGACAGCAACAAGTTTTGCCAGGGCTGACCCCCATCTAGCACTCCACTGAAATCAGTAGGGCATTGTGCCCAGGCAGGAGTGGATCTCATTTTGGAACCAGGGCCTAATGTTGCAAGTACTGTATTGAAGAAATAAAAGCCCCGATATATATTTGATGGAGCAGAACACTTAAATAAACCATACTAAGATGCCTGAATGATCGCTACAAATACCTCCTAGCCCCACAATAAGAGGAAGCAATTGCCAATTCTCCCACTGAATTAGCCCTGTTGCCCTGGCCAAATTCCAACCAGGGTAACACCCAACTTTTGGGGAAATGTCATGGAATGAACACACACACAAAACACTGCCCGCCATACCTAATGCCTACACAATAACCCTAGCCACAGAATCTCACCAACTAAAAAAAAAGCAACTGTGCTGACTGATATTACCAGTATAGATCCGAAAGTATTCAAAAGTATCTTAACACCTCCCCACAGACCCTTCTCCAGCAGCCTAGGGCACTTCAGCATCTCATCCTCACCCCCTGGTGAGCCTTCTCCCACACCCTCCTTTCCTCTTCCTTGCCCCCATCCCAGGCCCTGCCCCAGCACCCCTCCTTGCCTCATCTTCCCCTCACTGTAGGCCCTTTCCCAACACTCCCTCTTTACCCTTCCCCAGAACCCCAGATCCTTCCCCAGTATGCACCCATCCTCACCCCTCTAGACCCTTCCTCAGCACCCTCTTCATCCCTAACCTCTCTCCTGGCCCTTCCCCAATGCCCCTCCCCAGCACCCCCCCATCTAACCCTCCCCTCTTTCAGCCTTTCCCCAAAGCCCCCCATCCCCCCCCCTCCCCTCACCAGCCCTTCCCCAGCACCCCTCATCCCCGCCCCTCCCCCCACGAGCCCTTCCCCAGCGCCCCTCATCCTCGCCCCTCCCCCCACGAGCCCTTCCCCAGCGCCCCTCATCCTCGCCCCTCCCCCCACGAGCCCTTCCCCAGCGCCCCTCATCCTCGCCCCTCCCCCCACGAGCCCTTCCCCAGCGCCCCTCATCCTCGCCCCTCCCCCCACGAGCCCTTCCCCAGCGCCCCTCATCCTCGCCCCTCCCCCCACGAGCCCTTCCCCAGCGCCCCTCATCCTCGCCCCTCCCCCCACGAGCCCTTCCCCAGCGCCCCTCATCCTCGCCCCTCCCCCCACGAGCCCTTCCCCAGCGCCCCTCATCCTCGCCCCTCCCCCCACGAGCCCTTCCCCAGCGCCCCTCATCCTCGCCCCTCCCCCCACGAGCCCTTCCCCAGCGCCCCTCATCCTCGCCCCTCCCCCCACGAGCCCTTCCCCAGCGCCCCTCATCCTCGCCCCTCCCCCCACGAGCCCTTCCCCAGCGCCCCTCATCCTCGCCCCTCCCCCCACGAGCCCTTCCCCAGCGCCCCCCATCCCCGTGTCTCCCCGCGGGGCCCGGCCCGGGGCTCTCACCGTCATAGTAGTAACAGACTTTCCGCTTGGTCCCCTGTGTCAGCGCCATTTTCCTGCCGCCCGAGCGCACCAAACCCTCCCGCAGCGCAACCGAACGCGCCCCGGGGGCCAAGCACCCCCCCAGCTGCTCCTCCCGCCCCCGCGCGGGGCAGCCGGCCTATCGGGGAGTGGCTTGTATCCACTTCCTGAGGAATAGCCAATGAGAAGTGACGTAGGTCGGGGTGGCGGCATTAGCACGGTAGGTAGAGCGCAAGTGTTCCTGGACTGTACCACTCTAGAGAAGGGGGAGAAAAAGACAAACGGGTTGGCAGGACGGCACCACTCCCGGAGAAGGGGGGGGTCTAAACAGACAGGAGTTTACCACTGGTGGAGGGGAGAGGGGGAGAGAGATAAAGGAAAAGTACCATTCCTCAGAGAATGGGAGGGGAGTTCAGACAGAAATGTATCATTCCCCCAGGAGAGGAATCTGGGCTGAAAGGACTGACCTATTCTCACAAGAGGGGTGGTCTGGGCAGCAAGGACTAAACCACTTGACCCCTGCTGCTATGACATCACGTGCCACATGGCTGCACAAGACATTCCCATCTAGATTCTAGTCCCTTGCTAGGGCCAGCCCACAGTGCACCGCCCAGGGGCCAGGCATGTCCATAGGCCTGGTTGCAATGGGCTGGAGGTAGCAGAAGTCCCAGAATGCACTGGGGCCAGCATGACTGTAGGGGAGGGGACATTATGTCTGCCCCAGGTGGGGGTAGGGCTGGGGTAATGGGGGGCAGTGGTCTCTGTAAGATGGGCAGTTGCGCAGCTGTTCTGGAGAGATTCCAGTGCTGCCCAGCTGATTAGCAGAGCACCCAGATCTAGGTGTTTTGTTTCTACTGGTGATGCACATAAAATGTATTCCACACATGAATGGAAAAAATCCACACATGGATGGGAAAGATTAGAGGGAACATTGGTGGGGGGATGCATTCAGGGGACCACCATCGCCACCAGATGCTTCAATAATACACAATCCCCTGCACCCGTGGAAAAAAGTGAGCTGATTTTTCACACTTGCTGTCCTCACCTTAGTCTGTGCAAATGAGGCAGCTATTTGTTCATGTCACAACCCAGCTCTTTCACCTAGGGACTGACCAGTGTCACCACAGCTTCTGCCACATGCCAGTTGTGCTATACCCTTGCAAGACTTTTTTGTTAATCCCCCCAAAATATGTTTCAGTGTGTGTGTGTGTGTGTGTGTGTGTGTGTGTGTGTGTGTGTGAGAGAGAGAGAGAAATGTGACACTTGGGAGTTCAAAAGACGATATTGAAAATGAGCTGAACAAACATGAATTGTGGAGACAATATGTGTTAAGTGGGTTTACTGGGAATCCCTAGGGAAAGCTTAATACAAATTCCCCAATCCTTGTTATGCAAAAAACAGCCTTTTACACCCTGGTTGTGTCTACATTGGCATGATTTTGCACAAAAACACCCGCTTTTGCACAAAAACATTCTGTCTGTCTACACTGGCAGGGAGTTCTTGCGCAAGAACACTGACATTCTAATGTGTGAAATCAGCGCTTCTTGCGCAAGAACTATGACGCTCCTGCTCAGGAATAACCCCTCTTGCGCAACTGTTCTTGAGCAAGAGGCCAGTGTAGACAGGCAACATGAATTTCTTGCGCAAGAAAGCCTGATGGCTAAAATGGCCATCGGAGCTTTCTTGCGCGAGAGCGTCTACACTGGCATGGATGCTTTTGCAAATCTCTTGCGCAATGGCACATGCCAGTGTAGACGCTGTCTTGCGCAAATACTTTAACGTAAAAACTCTTGTGTTAAAATTATTTGCGCAAAATCTTGCCAATGTAGACGTAGCCTCTGAGGAAAGGGTAAGTGTCTGTGGATTGACCTGTTACAGAGGGCCAAGCGCAAAGGTGAACGCAGCATACAGACACAGCTGATCAGCCCAGCCTAGGTTCCAGTTCTGGATCTCTGGACATGAACTTGTAACTGCAGGAAACATTCAGTTGTGGATTTTGAAGGACAGACCCCTGCCAGAGCCTTAGGCTGGAGTGGGAGGGGGTGACCTCTAGCAGACTTTCTAGCATGCACATAGCTTCTTTTATTAATGTGTTTTTGCTGTACTGTAGTGCTTTTACCTTAAGAATAAATGTGCTGGCTTAGCCAGAACTGGGTGATAACCTACCTACACCTCTAGGCAATACACTGGGCATAGTTCCTAGAGAGAAAGCAAAGCATAGTGTGCTGGCCTGCTAGGCAGCCTGGCTTGCTGGGAATATGTAAGCCAGGGAGCAGTGTAGTTTAAAATCCCTGGACAGGAAGGGATGAGATGCAGGTCTCCACCATAGAGAGGTGATAATTGGTAGCCTGAAGCCTAAAATAGATCACACAGGGGGACTACTGGCACAGGTTGCCAGAAATTGTGACACCAGCAACCCCTTACTGGGCACTGTCTGAAGTCCCCCCTCTCACCCTGCCAGGTGTTAAGTTTGTCCCAACTGAGCCCCCTGCCCGTCCCCAGCTAGTGCCAAGTGTGCCCCTCGCCCTCTGCCGAATGCTTCCTCAGGCCCCCCACCCCCGCCCAGCGCCCTCACTCCCATCCCACTGGGCCTGACTCGGGGCCTGGCCCGGTTGGGCTCCCCCTGTGAGGTTGTGAGCACACACAGCTCCCTGCGGTCAGCCATCGCCCTGCTTCGGGCCTGATTTTGTGCCGTGCTGAGCCACCCACCCCACACAAATAAATCCACCCACGCCCGGGGCTCGGATCCCGCCCGCGCGGCACTGGAACGGTCTTGCACGACTGGCCCCCGCGGCAGAAGAGAGGGGCCACTCCTCCGCCACTCGGCATCTTCATGGAGAGCCAGGAGCCCCCCCTCCACCTCTGTATACACCCAATGTCAAGCTCGCCCCCTCCCGCCCCCTCAAGTGGAGGACACGGGTGCCGTTTACCGAAAGGTGTTTGTTTACTGAAAATCAAAGAGCAACACAAGACAGGGCTTTAAAATACAAGGGCAGGGGGGGATCAGAGTCCTCACAGGCTGGTCATTCAGAGAGGCTCGTTCCAGGGACTTGAGAAGGTTTCTCTCCCACAAGCCTTTTTGGGGGACTATGTAGAACCCCCGAGGGTAGGTGTGGGTCCACTCTAGAGCCACCACCTGCCAGCCCAGCCTGGGGTCGAATTCTGAGCCCCCCTTCTGGAGCTAAATGTTGTGGTTTGAGCCTGTCTCGATCCCCTTTTCAGGGCACTAATGTCACGGTCAACGGTGCGGAGAAAACAGAAGAGATTTCACCTCTGCAGCTCCTGCCAGGTGAAACAGCCTCCTCTACCTCTCCACATCTCCCTGACTCATCAGGTCAGCTGCAGTCTGAGCTGAAATGTCTCCTTCTCCGCCTGCTGGTTTGCTCCTCTCTCCCTTGGCTACAATGGTTGCACTTGGTGGCAGTTTTACCAAACGTTTGGAAGGGCTCTGGGAAAAGTGATTGACTTGTTCCCATACCATAAGAACTAGCAGTCGCCAAATGAAAGGAATAGGTAGCAGGTTTAAAACAAACAAAAGGAAGTTCAAAAAAGAACTAGATAAATTCATGGAGAATGGGATGGGCAGAGATGATGTCACGAGTCTCTGTCAGAAACTGGGAATGAGAGATGGGAGAAAGCACTTGATGACTCCGTTCTATTCACTCCTGCTGGGTGTCTGGCACTGGCCACTGTCAGAAGACAGGATCCTGGTCTAGATGGACTTTTGGTCTGATCTAGTCTGGCCGTTCTTACATAATACTTCACACAACGCACAGTCAACCTGTGGAACTCCTTGCCAGAGGATGTTGGGAAGGCCAGGACTTTAACAGGATTCCAAAAAGAGCTAGATAAATTCATGGAGTATATAGGTCCATCCAATGCTTTTTTGGGGATGGTACTGCCATGCAGTACTGGCACCTCCAGACGCAGTACCGGCCCCTCTAGTCAGAGCTCAACAACTTTTCCCCTGTAGTACCAGCACCTTTTTTTTTAAACAAAAAAAGCACTGGGTCCATCAATGGCTATTAGCCAGAGTGGGCAGGGATGGTGTCCCTAGCCTCTGTCAGGCTGGGAATGGGCGACAGGAGAGGGATCACTTGCTGATTCTCTATTCTGTTCATTCCCTCTGGTTCATACCTGGCGTTGGCCCCAGTCGGCAAACAGGATGCTGGGCTGGATGGACCTTTGCTCTGACCCAGTTTGGCCGTGCTTATTTTCTGTCCTCACACCCCATCGCGTGACAGGCATTGTTCAGAGTCGTGTGGTTTCACAGTGAAAATCAGCAAGATGGGCACTGGGACGTGTTCGGGGGTGTCCCGGAGACCGTCTGGCTCTGGCGCGAAGAGGGTTATGTTGCACAGTGGGGGAGTCCATCGATTTGTACGCTTTGATCACAGCCCTGAGCGTGAGCGGGTCCCAGTTCCAAGGCTGGCAGCTCCATGCAAAACCCCTTGACCCTGATTAATCCATCCATCTTCCCTGGGGGAATACAGCATTGGGAACATAGGGGAGGGATGGGAGGGCGGGGCGTGGGGTGCTCCACACCGCAGCTCTCTGAGTCTCTCCCTCCGGAAGATCAGTGCTGAGAAGGGGTTTTTAGTTCCAGTGCAATTGGTGGCGGGTCCTGAGTGTTCCCCAATGCCCAAGGAGAGAGAACTTGGCGTCTGCCTCATGCTGGTGCAAAACTGTTATTTTAGTTGCTATGGGTCTGACTGTATCCAGGGCAGCTCTTAGCTGGACGTGCACAGCATGTCCCCATGTGTCTGCAGCGGGAGGGGGGGAGGGGGTGCGCCCCCACGCCTAAGCCTTTGTATGCATCTGTATAGCTGCCCGTTTCTGTGATTCCTGCCTGGGTGCACACCCCTGTGGGGTGCGTGTGCATGGCGTGAGCCCCCGGGCAGCGCTGTGAGCAGACACGTGTGCCCGCGGAGTTTGCCTGGGCGCTCCAGACTGTGGGTGAAACCTGGCAGCCCTCAGGGCCGTGCAGTTCTTTTGCCGGCGTGCGTGAGACACACGGCGCCCCAGCTCTGAGAATCAAGACGGATCTGCCACGCGCGTGTGGGTGCTGCAGGAACATGGACACATCTTCACTGTCATGAGGGTTCTGCCAGGTTTAAGCTCTGATCCGAAAGCCCAGGGCTGAGCTGTGTGAGTCTTTGAGGAGCTCATGCACCCGGACCGTTCCCCCCCACCCTCCCTTACATCCCAAAGTGAGGATGCTGCCAGCCCCTTGCTCAGGGTCCCCTCATGGCTGCTGCTGGTACTGGCCCTCTGTGGCCGTAAAAAAGTCCTCGAGAACGCTCTTCATGTACTCAAAGGTGGGGCGCTCCTCTGGGTTCTCCTTCCAGCAGTGCAGCATCAGTCCATACAGCTCCTCCGGGCAGTTGTCAGGCTGAGGCATTCGGTAGCCACGCTCCAAGTTCTGTATCACTTCCGGATTAGTCATCCCTGCGGTCAGAACACACGGCCCTGAGTTAGGGACGACCGAATCAGGGTGTAGTGGACACAGCCCAATGCTGGGAGAGGTGTCGCTCTGCCCTGCCCCACAGCCGTGATCCTGCCCTTTTCCCTGCCCCACCTCTGGCTGATCCAGTTTGGGACAGGAACAGCTGGGAGCCTCCTCACTGTGCCCTGCCACACCCCGTTCTGGGAGATGCAGGGACACAGGAGGGCTGTGTCTAGACTGGCAAGGTTTTCCGCAAAATCATCTGATTTTCCAGAAAAACTTGCCAGCTATCTACACTGGCTGCTTGAATTTCCGGAAAAGCACTGACGATCTCCTGTAAAATCATCAGTGCTTTTCCGGAAATACTATGCTGCTCCCGTTCGGGCAAAAGTCTTTTTCCGAAAGACTTTTGCGCAAAAGGGCCAGTGTAGACAGCTGAGATTTGTTTTCCGCAAAAAAGCCCCGATGGCGAAAATGGCGATCGGGGTTTTTTTGCGGAAAACCCGCGTCTAGATTGGCCACGGACGCTTTTCCACAAAAAGTGCTTTTGGGGAAAAGCATCCTGCCAATCTAGACGTGCTTTTCTGAAAATGCTTTTAACGGAAAACTTGTCCGTTAAAAGCATTTTCGGAAAATCATGCCAGTGTAGACGTAGCCGAGATGTTCAGTCACGACTCCAGCTACTGTTGTCAATTTTATGTGGGTGATGGACTGGCATTTGTAGCCCAAAGAGATATACAGAATGAAACCATCCCATCAGTAGAGAGGGGTCATGGGCCCATCCCTGCGCTAGGGATGTGAAAGGTTAACTGGCAAGTATCACCATTAACAGGTGACGCTTACCCGTTCCGGTTAACTGTTAACCAGTGGGGGCTGGAGCAGCTCCTCTCCAGTCCCGCTGGGGGGCTCACTGCAGACAGGGGCTGTTCCAGTCATCCAGAGCAGCCCCTGCCCACGGTGGGCCCAGACGCCTCACAGACAGCGGCTGCTCCAGCCTCTGGAGCAGCCTCCAGCTGTGGTGGAGAGG